ACATCCCATTCCATCATCAAGTTTGCGTGGCCCTACAAGGATCGTTGCTCATGCACAGTTCCTGCTCGAGCAGCGTCTCTGTGATCTCTGATTCTCTGATGCACGTATAAACGTACGGAAGCTCCTGTAAAACCTGTTTTGCGCAGGATGCCAAGACAAAGACATAAAGGCCATGGCACCTTCCAAGGTGTTCCAGCGATCTTTTTCTAAGTCGTGGTCATCTTCGCTCGAACATCTCCTCTTCGTGCATGCTTGGCCCACAAGGTATCAGTGCCACAATATCTTTTCAGCTCGCCGCCCCAGAAACAACTCTCAAAAGCCAACGTACTACCATGGAGACCCTCAGCACCATCGAACAGGCCACCCGCTTTGGCCGCCGTGCCACCCGTGGAGGTGGTGCGGGCGGCTTCGGTTGCTGTGGCATCTTTCTCGTCTTGATGAGCGGCTCCATGCTTTTTTGGAACGAAGGTCGTGCCGTGAGGCGCTACAGCATCCTCCATGAAGGATCCAAAGCTGTGGTGGAGATCGCCAACATTAATGAAGTGGACCCGGCCAACGAAGGAAAACTGGTGCATTTGGTTGGAACGACGAAGAACAGCCGTCCTGTCACGGACAAGAAGTTTGGCGTGACGGCAGATGCCTTGAAGCTCGGTCGCACAGCGGCAATGTACCAATGGGAAGAAAAGACCGAGTCTCACACAGTCAAGCACCCGGATGGCAGCACATCCAATGAAGTCTCGTACACCTATGATCGTGTCTGGTTCCCGGCACCCATTGATTCCAATGTTTTCCACAAACCTGAGCATCACACCAATCCTGGTCCCTTGCCGTATCATGCCATGTTGGACAAGGCTGACATTGTCTCCATTGGTGCCTACGAGGCGTCTCAAGACATGGTAGATGGATCCATGAACTGGTTCTCCTACAAAACGGACGGGATCTCTGTCGAGAACATCACCGATCCCTCCACAAAAGCGAAGGCCAAGGCCATTCCGGGAGGATTCTACTTTGGTTCAGATCCGTCCGTACCCAAAGTTGGAGACTCCAAGGTGACCTTTCAGGTTGTTCTTCCCTCTGTTGTGACTGTCATGGCCCAACAGACCGGAAAGAGTTTTACTCCCTACAAGGGCAAACACTCCGGCAAAAGCGGCGAACTCATGTTTGTACAATTGGGAAACCACACTGCACAGGTAAGTAGTTGAATGATTCCATTTTACGCCCAGCTTTGCCATCATGATGCCGCTCACAATTTATTTTCCTTGCATCTCCTCAGGAAATTTTTGCCAATGAAATCTCCAGCAACAAGTTCTTTACGTGGCTCTTTCGCTTCCTTGGGGTTTGCCTCATGTATGCTGGGGTTGGGGGCATGCTAAGTCCATTGGCCATGATGTTGGATTCCATTCCCTTGATTGGACGGTGCATTGGCAACACCTTGCTCCCTCTCCTGAACAGTATCGTGGCGGGTGCTTTTGCTGGTGTCGTCATTGCTGTGGCTTGGCTTCGTTTCCACCCGTTGGCGGGAATTTCCTTCATCTTGCTTGTCGGTGGTTTGACCTTTTTGGCGGTTCGAAAGTCCAAGCAAATGAACGCGGAGGGACGAGGAGATGCAGTTATTGCCACTGACGAATCTGATCCAACCGAGCCCCTGCTTGAAGAAGGCGAGGACGATAAGGCAGACGATCAAGGAGAACCTGTTTAAACTAATAGAAGGCATAGTCAAGCTGAGACCAGCCAGAAACACAGAATGTAGGCCCTCCTTCTAAGTTCAAAGTTATCCACAGTGTCGCTAGCTAGTACACTGTGTGCCAGCGCAATGATCACCTGCATTATTATTTTATTTCGTGTCCAAAGATGCCGAAGTCAAACACGTCACGAAAATGAAGGCACCAAGCAGAATTGGCATCCCGCCTCTTTCACATTCTCATGAAGAGAGAGCATTTTACTGCTGCGCCTCTCATAACGAGGAGTTTGGCACTCACTATACTAGTAGCAACCAAATAGTCTCGTGAATCATGTCTGTGGTGGCTTACAGGTGGGGTATTGATGCCGAGGGGAATGTTGTGACAGAACCCATCCCCGGCGAGGAAGTACATAGTTTGTACATGCGCCTCCTGTTCAAAAAGAAGACTACGGTCCCGGATCTGTCAGAGCTAGTCTTCATGATAGGAAGGAGAAACTTCATTTTGTGGATACAGCAGCGAATAGCGGAAAAGCGGCTCGCCCTCCAACGGTCTTTTCTTGGGTATCCTGATGCAGAATGTTGCCGCCTTTCTGTCTGGATTGATCGCGTTCAGGAGATTCCCTGGTACTATGAGATTGACCACAAGACAGATGCCTTTTTCGAGATGGTACACTTCTCGAAAGAAGTGAAGGAGAAGAGGGATAGCAGAGAACAATTCATTTTTTGGTTTCTGATTTGCGGCATGCTCATCATGCTTTACCCCTTCATCTGCCTATTTTGTCGCTTGGACAAAGAGAAGCTTCAGCAGATCCCAAGTGTCTCTCAGAGTGGTTCAGACCTGGAGCAGAGTTCTCCACCAATGCAGCAATCTACTGACATCCTCAAAGGATCTTTTTGGAAATCAACGCTGCCAAGGCTGGGAAGCTGGATCAGAAACATTTCATCACGCTTGATAATATCTGATGATCATCAGAATGCCCCGGATGCAGAGAAGCAATCACCAAGGATATCGTCACACGAGAGTAGGCATCTGGATTCGATTGTTCAATCCTCGGAATCTGAACCCCCTGCTGCCAGTGTAGACGACGAAACATGGAGCACCACAGAATACCTTGACGTTTTGCCGGACTGGCTCGTGCTGCTCTGGACAGTTCTCCCTGCCCTGATTCTTTGTGGTTTTTTGCTCCCGTCTGCCGATCCGCTTGAAATGCTAAATGCTTACATTGATTACTCGGTGGGTGCGCTTACGAAAAGGGGGCCCAACAGAGAAACCATCATGTCCAGCCCACAACAACATCAATTGCACACTAACGCTGTCCATCAGCGATGGGTTCAGGAGAGCAATGATAGTGCTCAGTCTCGCCAGCGGGCATCACCGCAGCCACAGCCGCAACGTCGTCGCGGTAATCGCCGTGCAAATAGAGAACGACAGGCCCAGCAAATCGCAGGGTCGTCTCTGGAAATGGCAGATCAAACTCCACCATCTGAAAATCGCACCGATTCTACAGGGGGGCGTGCTAGCAATCTAACGCTTTCCTTGGGGGGTGATCTGTGCTTCAATCGGGTTGCCATCAATGCTCAGAAACCACAGGATGAGTGTCCCATCTGCCTTCATTGTTTTGATGAAGACTTGGCTGACACATATTGTGCAGTGTTGAATTGCAAACACGCCTATTGTGTGCCTTGTCTCAAGAAGATAGAGGCCCATGCTGGGGTGGTTAATTTTCCTTGTCCAACTTGTCGTGTTGCTCAGAAAACTGATCTGTCTCAGCTGCATTACCTACTATATCCTGTAGTGGTTGGTGATCGTATGAATATTCTTAAAGAGGTCTCCACCGAAGACAAGATAGACATGTTCAAGTCCCTTCTACATGCCAACAGTTATCAAAAAGGCAAGGTGGATGAGGCATTGGAGGACATGCTGGTTGGCAGTGTTGTCCCCTTACTGCCTCCTTCAGCCATGGAGAATGGCAAAGATTTCTCTCCTGAGGAGAAGCAAGCAATCTACATGGAAACTCGGCGACCCATACAGAAGATTCGGCATGAACTCGCACAAGCCCGCAAGAGACTGCAAAAGGCTCAAAATGCTGACATGTATACCCAGACAAAGCAAGAAGTGGAGGATCTCAAGAAACGTCTGATTGAGGCAACCAAGAATGCGCGGGAGGATGCCTACAACCAAATCAATAGTCGAGGAAACATGGGGATAATCGATGATCGCAACTTGAAGATCGATTTTCATACTCTGCACCGGGATGATTCAGTGCAGAAGTTGAAAGAGCTAGTGGTCCCAATGCTTCCAGCACTGGGAGAAATCAACATTATCACTGGCTGGGGCAAGCATAGCAGCACAGGAGTGGGTGTGCTACAGCAGGCTTTGAAAGATCACATTGACAAAAAGCACAGCGACAGCATGAGATGGGAACCCTACAGTATGACTGCAACCAAGGAATCCTCCGAGTGGTTTACACCAAAGCCGTAAAGAGAGATTCAGATTGAGTTGCCATTACGAGGCTGTACGATACGACAGTTCTGGGAAGCTCCCAGCCTTGGTGGCTAGACAAACTACTGGCACCAGTACCCGTGCATGTACCGGCACATGCAGTTTCATTGCATAATCGGCTTTCGCTGACTACTAGTAGAGTTAAAATGGAATGCAGATGAGTGGAACCCAAGTCCTACGGCAAGGACAAGTCTGTTTGAAATAGTTCATTATTTTGATCTAATTAGCTTTTGACTGTTTTGCTGCCGCAGCAACGCTCGTCTTTAGTCTACGTTGAATGAACGAGCTTCGTACCGTTCGCTGTCTCATCTTTTGGGCTCTGGAGACGCAAACTGCAGCACGGTCCCTGGATAAGACATGCACTTGTCCATTGTTTGCGACAGTGCGGCAACGACGACACTCATATTGTCCGTGGAACCCTTGTTCAAACAATGTTCCAGCAAATCGTCTCCCACCGTAGAGAGGAGACGCGCCCCGTTGTCGGCCCCTTGATCCAGATCGTCGACACGGTCCACGACAAACTTGGCAACGTCCTCGTTGCTCATCACATCCCAAACACTGAAAAACATTAGCGTGAGATTCGATTCAAAGAAGAGCAGAATTCAATTCAACCAAGCAACCACCATGCACTTACCCATCACACGCGAGCACCAAATACATGTCCTTTGTGGCATCACGAGAATGCACACGAACTTCTGGAACCGCAATGACCGCCTGCTCGTCCGGTCCCAACTGATTGTTGCTCTTGTACTCAAAGTCGCCAAAGGATCGCGAGACGGCCAGCGTGTTGTTTTCGCTCTTTTGTACCCTGTAGATTGTGCTGGTGGTACCATCATCTTCTTGAATGGTTGCTTCGACGACCTTCAGGTTGTTGTTTTCGATGCGTTGTCGTTCAGCGGGTAGATTGGGTTTGTGGTCATCCGACATGGCCACTGCCACAAAACCTTGGTCGATCGCATTGGTGATGGTGCCGTCGACGCCGACAGTGGGCGTTTCGGGAGCATCCCCGCTGGTAGTTGTCGTCTTTTCGGGAGTGCCAACGGTTTCCTCCACCAGTTCCGGCGGTTCGTCACTGCCTGATCCCTTTTGCACGAGAATGCACCGACTGTCCCCCACATTGGCCACTACAATTTCGTCCTTGGTCACGAGACAAAAGACGCTCGTGGAACCACCCGGTCGACCACTTTTCTTGAGATCCGCATCGACCTTGAGGCAAATGGCGTTCCAGACTTGTTGCCAGGTGGTAAATTCGGTGGCGTGTTGTTGTTGTAATAAGGCCGCCACGTGTTCGGATACAAACTGCGACGTCTTGCCCATGTCCCCGTGTCCGTCACAAACACCCAGCAAGCAATAGTGGTCCCTGCCATTATTCTTGTCAAATGTCACGGTACAAATGGCATCTTCCATGGTGACTCGTTTACCGGGCATGTCGGCTATTCCATACGCCAGTTGCAGGGCGGTCACGACGGCTTGTCGGGCCAACGGCGGTTGAGGATTGCCTCGAATGGATCGATCGGTGGGTGAAAAGAGCAATTGTTGTAATTGTAATTGGGTTTGGGTGCTTCTTTGCTTGGGTTTGGGCGACAATACAAAGCGACCGTACGGTGTCTGCCCCGACGCATCGACGAGTGTTCCCACATCTTGTCCCTTTTCTTCGTGCTTTTCTTTCAAGTACGTGACCATTGCGACGTCTCCCTGTTCGGCGGCTCGATGCATGGCGGTGGCACCGGTTAAATCGCGATCAAACGGTGCTGATTCATCGGCTTCCGTGATAATTTTGGCGGCTGGAAAATTGCCCGATTGCGCGGCGGTGATCAACGGAGTGGATCCATCCGGCGCCAATAGTCCCAAATTTCTGGCTCGCGATTTGGTCAAGGGCGGGTCCGCCTCTACTACTTTTTTTATCTTGGCGAGTCGCTTGTCGGTGAGTTTGGTGGTGGAAGCGCAATTGCGAAAGAGGAATTCTTCCAGATGCGTCAATTTGTTGGTGGTTGCCGTGGCTTTGGCGGCGCGAGAGGCTCCTACGGCGGCTTCTAGTTCTTCGCCCGTCGCCAGCATCAATCCAGCAACAGGGCTGGTCAGGGCTGTCGCAAGAGGAGTGCCATGGGTAAACGGAGTTGTCGTCGTTCTGCTAGTACTAGTCGGGTCGGCGGGTCGCACTGGTCGAACGGGCGTTACTTGGTTGCAACTCAGACAAAATCTCAGAGATTGCGCATCAAAAGCAGCAGATGGAGGGACCACTTGACCAGTAGGAGTCTCGTGTGTTGACGTATTGGTAGTGATTTCGCCTTGATAAGAGGGTGGTGTCGTCATGGTCGTCTCATCGGCCGTTGCATCGGTGGAAGTAGACGCTGAACCTTGCACTAGCTTGTCAAACTCTGGATCCGGCGCTACAACGCTCCAAAAGCTAGCGACATCCCCACCGTCATCCACATTCTCATCAGGAGCCACCACTTGCCCAACCCACTTGTAGAAAGGAGAAAACATCTTGAGCTACGGTAGTATTGCCAACCCAACAGTGTCTGTCAAAGTGCTGTTTGATGAAAAACCAAAGACGGCGCAAGACAAAATGTGGGGTGGCAACGGCTTTTTGATACCGTATCAGTCCAGTCACGAGCGAAAACATGTTTCGTGAAGCCAGCCAGCCTGTCATTGGAACGCGATCGGAAAATCCCGGGGCCGCTCCGAACCTCTCCTCTCACCGCCACTCCAAAACTAACTACGACAATCAAACGCTCGATTACCAACGAAGAAAGAAACTTTGTCTTGCATAATTGGAAGAACGACAATGGCATCAGCTGAGGAGGAAACAACAAAACAAAACGGAAGATGTGAAGAGGCTTCAAGCTCAAAAGCAAAGAGATTCCGGATTTCCGAAGAAGGCCCACCACCATCCAAAGACAAAAATCCAGGACAGACCTGGCGTGGAGATCCCAAGGAAACCTTCAGTGACTGGAAGATCATTGTAGTCAGCAAGACACCAGATTCAGAAGAAGCCCAAGCAACAACCTACCATGTTCACAAGTTCATGCTAACCTGTGGTGGTCGAAACAGCAAGTATTTTGCCAAGCTCTTCCAAAACACTTCCAACTTTCGGGAAGGCGAGTCCTGCACCACCCAGCTGGAGCTAGACCCTTTGGCAATGACCGCATTTCCTGCTCTCTTGGATTATCTCTATGACGAGTACAAGCCACTCCATATTGATACAAAGACTGCCACTGCATTGCATTACCTTGGAGAATACTTGGACATCCACCGCCTACGATGGGATGCCTTGCAGTTCTGCAAGAAGAATCTTTCCTTGGACAATGCTGACATCTACTATGAGCATGCCATGACTTTCCAAAATGAATCCATCCTTGGTATACTAGCCAAGTTCTTGGGAGAAAAAATCCTGCACATCAGCCCAGAAGCAAAAATCCTGCAAACCTCCAGCCCAGATTTGTGGGTCAACGCATTGGAGCACATCTCCAAGAATGAAAGTACCAGCAGGCACATTAGCAAACTTGTGGCGAAGTTTGCTCAGAACAATCCAGATGCCTTGGATCTTGAAACATTCCAGTCGCTAACAAGCCTTGAAATCACTCCACAGATTGAATGGAATGCTGCCCTTACCTTGTGTGTTCTAGAAGACAAGGCTGCCAAAGAGTCCACCAAGGAACTATCCCAGCTTCAGGAGCGGTGCTCTGATTCTTTGGCACAGAACTGGGAGTCCTTCTTGTTGACAGATGACGCTACCACCAAGCTATTGCGGGAACGGAAACCAGACTTCTTGGTGGATCTTCTGTTAAAATCATTGAAGGATGCAGCCTCAAAGCTTACAGAGTACCGGGCTGCTCTTTCATCAACACGACAAGAATTGGCACAAACAAACTCCACCTTGCAATCCACCGACGCATCTCTCTCATCAACACAGGACACTTTGAATTCGACAACAAGGGAAATGAGCTTGGTGAAAGCCGAGCTCCAGAAATTTACACCTGTCAGCTCCAATAGTGGAGGATGGCGAAGTCCACAGGCAGTGCCCGACTCACTCTGCAATGTAAACCCAAGCTTGCAGGGGAGATCAACGAGTCAGTATTGCCGCCAGCCGAGTACCTACCGCACAGGGTATGGCGGCGCATCAATCAACAGCTCATCCAATACACACTATGTTTTCCTCTATCAAGAATAAGGACGCCAGAGCTCCCGAATTCCCGCATTATCGTGCCAAGCGGTTCGGTGCTTCGAGAAGCTCATCTATGCCATACCGGTACCCCGCACCTACGTTTTCTCTGGGTAATCATACTATCGAGGTGAAACAAATCCTCACACATCTTGTAAACTGGTGCAGCTACTGGTGCAAACATGGCATCGTCTTTGCTTCATGTCAGAGTTTTTGATACTCCGGCGCTCCAAGGCTACAAGAAGGACCGTTTTTAGTAGCCAAAATTCCTTTCACTAATATTTCTCAAATGATTTTAGTTGCTATATGCTATCTTAATAATTGATAGTTGACGAATCGACCCCTTGCGCTTTCATGCCTGATTTGATTTGTCTTAATAAAAGCCAAATAGTCTGTCCCTTTCTCGGAGTCCATCGCGTCCCGCCTCCACGACGTGGAAGCGTTTGCTGGTCTCCGACGCGGACGAGTCTGGGCCGTCTCGTCCTTCCGCTCGAACTGAAATCCGGTCACGACCGAAAAACTTGATTTTCATTCGTGAAGCCAGCCAGCCTGTCATGAGCATTAGCAATGGAACATGAGGCCGATGAGTCTCAGAAGAGCCTCCACGCTCCCAGCTCCACGCTTCACGCTCCACGGTGGCGAAGTTCCCTGGTCTCCCTCATTCGAGACATGACTGTCACTCTTCTGCAACTTCCACCGGACCACTGCAAAATCTCTATTGCCAACGAAACGAATGAAACTGCGTCTTCCATTGGAAGAACAACGATGGCATCAACTGAGGAGGAAACAAGGGCTGTGAGTCTGATTGCAAAGAGATTCAAGATTTCCGAGGAAGGGCCACCACCGCCCAATGACAACAATCAAGGGCTGACATGGCGAGGAGATCCCAACCAAACCTACAGCGATTGGAAGATCATTGTGGACGAGCCTACTCAAGCAGCCACTTACCATGTCCACAAGGGCATTCTGACTTGTGGAAGTACAAAGAGTGAGTATTTCACCAGGCTATTCCAAAACACTTCCAACTTTTGGGAAGGGAAGTCATGCACTACCCAATTAGAGCTAGACCCAGTGGTAGCAACTGCATTTCCTACTCTCTTGGACTACCTCTATGACGAGTACAAGTCACTCCAGATTGATACAAAGACTGCCACTGCATTGTACTACCTTGGAGAATACTTGGACATTCACTCCCTACGCTGGGATGCATTGCAGTTCTGCAAGAAGAATGTCTCCTTGGACAAGGTTGACATCTACTATGAGCATGCCATGATATTCCAAAATGAGAACATCCTGTGTATCCTAGCCAAGTTCTTGGGACAAAATATCCTGCACATCAGCCCAGAAGCTGAAATCCTGCGAATCTCCAGCCCAGATTTGTGGGTCAATGCATTGGAGCAGAGCCCCAAGACTCCAGAGACTAGTAGGCACATTAGCAAGCTCATGGCCAGGTTTGTTCAGCACAATCCTGATGCCTTGGATCTGGAAACATTCCAGGCTTTAACATGCCTTGAAATCACTCCACAGATTGAATGGGATGCTGCCCTCACCTTGTGTGCACTAGAAGCCAAGGCTGGAATTCATTCCACAGAGCAACTATCCAAGCTTCAGGAGCGGTGCTCTGATTCTTTGGCACAGAACTGGGAGTCCTTGGTGTTGACAGATGACACTACCACCAAGCTATTGCAGGACCGGAAAGCTGCCTTTTTGGTGGATCTTCTGTTGAAATCATTGAAGGATGCCAACTCAAAGCTCACAAAGTGTCAGGCTTCTCTATCATCGACACAAGACGAACTCAAGAAATTTAGACCCTTCAGCTCCAAGAGTGGCGGATGGCGAGATCCGCGGGCAGTACCTGACTCGCTTTGCAATGTAAACCCAAGCTTGCGGGGAAAGTCAACATATCAGTATTGCCCCTATGGCAGATCCTTTCCCCATTGTATTTTCCTCTATGATGAATTCGAAGATGAAGAGTACTAAGGAGGTCAGAGCTCCCGAATTCCCGCTATTTTCGTGCCAAGAGTTTCGGTGCTTAGAGGTACCCACCATTCATACTACGTTGTCGCTAAAATCGTATAACCTTATCCTCTAGGTGAAACAAAACGGATTGGCTTGAGCCATCCCAACATCTTAAATTGTGCAAAAATGGCATCGTCTTTGATGGGCGTGCGAGTTTTTGATGCTACAAGAAGGACCGTTTCTAGCTGGGCAGCCACAACTCCTTTAACTTTCTCAAATGATGTTAGTAGCTATACATGCTATGTTGATGAACCGACCCCTTGAGCTTGCCATCCCTAGCCAGCCCATGCAGTCTATCCCTTTCCCTTCTTTTTGTGTTGGAGTCATTCAATCACGTTAGGGTCTCAGACTACGGAGCTCGTGTGTGTCATTGGAACCAGGAAGGTCCTGCATTTGGCCAAAATTTTCAGGTCTTGTCTTTCTCTCTCTTCCAAATCTCTCTGGGTAGCCTGCCACATGTAGCAGCTAGCAGGTACGGTGGCGAAATTTTCAAGTCTCGTCTCTTCTGGGTGGCCAGCAGCTGACAAAGCTACACGGCCGGTCGCGAAATTTTCAGGTCTCGTCTTTGTCTCTTCCACATCTATACCGTCGGCGGACCACTGCACAACAGAAACTGCATCTTGCATTGAAAGAGCAACAATGGCATCAGCCAAGGAGGAAACAACACAAAATGGAGGAGAAGGGGCTGCTAGCCTGAAAGCAAAGAGATTCCAGATTTCCGAGGAAGGGCCACCACCAACAAATGAGAGCAATCGAGGACAGACCTGGCGTGGAGATCCCGCCGAAACATTCAGTGACTGGAAGATTGTTGTCATCAGTAAGACACCAGACGAAGACGAGACTCCACAAGCTACCTACCAGGTTCCCTACCATGTTCACAAGTTCCTGCTAACCTGTGGTCGTCGGAACAGCAAGTATTTTGCCAAGCTCTTCCAAAACAGTTCCAGCTTTCAGGAAGGGAAGTCATGCACCACCGAGCTGGAGCTAGACTCTTTGGCAGCAACTGCATTTCCTGCTCTCTTGGATTATCTCTATGAACATGACAAGCCACTCCAGGTTGAGACAAAGACTGCCACAGCATTGCACTACCTTGGAGAATACTTGGACATCCACCACCTAAGATGGGATGCCTTGCAGTTCTGCAAGAAGAACATTTCATTCGACAATGCTGACATCTACTATAAGCATGCCATGCTGTTCCAAAATGAAACCATCCTTGGTATCCTAGCCAAGTTCTTGGGAGAAAACAGCTTGAAGATTGATGAATCTGCTCACATTTTGCAAATCTCAAGCCCGGATTTGTGGATCAATGCATTGGAGCACAGCCCCCAGTCTCCAGAGACTATCATGCACATCAGCAAGCTCATGGCCAAGTTTGCTCAGCACAATCCTGGTGCCTTGGATCTGGAAACGTTCCAGGCCCTAAGTTGCCTTGAAATCACCCCTCAGATTGATGCCCATGCTGCTCTTACATTGTGTGCACTGGATGACAAGGCTGCCAAGGATTCCGCAGAGGAACTATCCCAGCTTCAGGAGCGATGCTCTGATTCCCTGGCACAGAACTGGGAGTCCTTGGTGTCACCAGATGATGCTATGGCCCTGTTATTGAAGGACCGGAAAGCTGCCTTTTTGGTGGATCTCTTGTTGAAATCGTTGAGGGATGCCCTATCAAAGCTTTCATCCACAAAACTAGAGTTGGAAAACACCAAGGAAACCCTGGCATCGACGGAATGTGATCTCTCATCAACAAGGTCTAAACTGAGTGCCAGAACGCGTGACCTAGGCTTGGTCAATGCGGAGCTCGAGAAATTCAAACCACTTGAGAGCCGACAGGTACAGTGGGGAGACGTGGCTGCAGTGCCCGACTCACTCAGCCTTCTGAACCGGACCTTGGCAAGCCAAAAGACGCAACAATTTTCTGTCAGGAACGGCTTTGGCGAGCGAAAATGCAGGTATGCGTTTTACCACGAGGGATGAAACGACACCCACTTTGAGGTGTCCCATACTACCGGATTTACATTGCATAGTGATTTGTCCCATCGCCTCCCTTCGTTTGACTGCATATGATCTTTGTGCTGTGATAAATTATACTATAAAGTTTCCCTCAAAAGCACCGCTTTGTTTGGCTTTTCGTCTTTTTTCCAATGCTGCGATTGGGCCTGGGAATATTCGTTTTGGCGCAGCCCAAGACCAAGCCTCACAGTGCCAGAGCTTCCTGCCCACGTCCCAAGAAGCATGTTGGTAAAGCGGTACTAGTATGGCTTTGACAACTTCTTCACGCAACAGGCCGGTCGGTTGCGCTGTCTACGGCACGGTACACGTACTTCATACTTTTTCTAACTTAAAATAAACGACTCCGCAACCCTGCCATCCCTGGTAGTGCTTTGCTTCATTTGTGATTTGGGCAAGAGTGTGATCCATCCCTTTCCCTTCTTCCTTTTTTGTGTGTTTCTGTCTGTTACGATATGATCTCAAACCAAGCTCGGGAAAAAGCAAGGTTTCGGAACCCAAGGTTCATCTTCGAAATCAATGCGGCAGTATTCCATCTGAACCTTTGCCCGTTGGTTGTTTCGATGAGAATGGCGCCTTCTTCTCCCCAGTGGCGCATTCTATGCGGCGTCTCTTCATCAAATTGGACACGAGAAAAGACAACGGAGGATGCCTGAATGAGAAGAGCAAAGACAGCCTGGAGCAATGGAATCAACCGAGCTCGGATCTCCGAAAAGTCTTCCGGTCCCCAATACGCACCTTCCAAAATCCGCGCATCGCCCGAGGATCGAGCAGGAACGATATGGAACGTTGCCAACACCGCCTGCCAAGCCTGAAGTGGGGTGATTGTTTCATTGACATGCATGGGACACATGGGAACACCAAACCATACGCGCCGCCACCGTACGGGCGTCCATAGCTACCCCAACATTTCCTTGCCTCGCAATACCCTCTTGCAAATTTAAATGCCTTGTCCCCGTCCGAAATCACGGGACGGTCTGCAACATCTACATCAAAATAAATGAATTTCGGTTCTGCATGCATGTTCTAAATAAGCCTTCTCCACGACACCTTCCAACGTTTGCCACTGGTTGGAGAAATCAACGCTCAGTTTCATTTATTGGGAGATCTGAGGGTATAATAATATAG